CCATTATCTGAAAGAAAAAGTCTGTATATCAAGGATTTTAAAATGGCAAATAATTTTTACCGATTATTTTACAGGTTTTATCTATTTTGTTAAGTTTAAAAATACCTAGTAAAATCATAGTAAGAAAAAGTATCAATTTATACACTGACTGAAAAAAGAGGCCAAAAATGTGCATCATGCCCTCATAACATATTTATATTTTACAAAATTCATTCTTTCAGTGTGTGTGGCCATAAAATTACACTGTTTACTGTATTTAAATCAGCTAAGAATATAATTATTTTACAGAACTTTGCTGTTATTTTCACAACTTAATTTTTCATTTTTATTTTTAAAATATGGCAGTATTCCATCATTTTTTAAATTTTTTGTTTTTATTTTTTTTTGACGTCTTTGCTTTGAAAACAAAATGATCAGACCGTTAATTATTAGATGGTAGTGTGCATTAATACTTTTCAAGGTGGAAACAGTCAAATTTATCGCTCATTGGGCTAAATACAGCTCATAAGATGTAATTCAGTGGATCAAGGGATTTTCCAAAAATCTATTACAATCAGATTTTCAATTATGAGTAAAAGTCACATCGGTAATTATTCTAAAGACAAAGTCTTTTGAAGTACAATAAGCATATTTTCAGAAGTAGAAGTGTGGAAATCCTACATGAACCAAACATTTTTCTTACAAAGAGGCGACACCTGCATCATTAGAAGTTAGAAAACTTTATCACATCTTATTAGCTGTGTGCTTTCACTGAAAACAGCAAAGTTAAGCAAAAGTCTTCAAATGTATACGTCTAAGCTCAGTCTAATAAATACCAATAACAAGGCTGATTTACAAACAGGACACTAAGTGGCCAGAATAAACTATCAGTCACCTGTTCATCACTTGTTTTGCACTTGACCAAAACTACCACGTTTAATATAACAAAACTTCTCTAAATACGACCTTCATGATGATTCATGTTCAATTTTAGTTGAAACGGTTTTGAGGAGTGTTGATTTGGCTGCTGGTCTTTGTGGAGCCGTGCAGCTGTATTGCATCACACTGATGATACAGGTTGGTGTTTCTATTGTTTTGCCCAACCCACTGAAGGTTAGTCTAAATACCAGACACACTTGTCAGCAATACAGCTCAGAAGCAACACAAACAACACCTTCCAAGATGATCCCACAGTTCAATCAATCATATAACCTGTATGACTGAGGATTTATATGCATTATCCATTATCCATCCATCCATTATCTATACACCGCTTATTCCTCACTAGGGTTGCGGGGTGGCTGGAGCCTATCCCAGCTTACTTTCGGTGAAGGCAGGGGACACCCTGGACAGGTCACCAGTCACTACACTTAGAGGCAGACAACCAAGCACACTCACATTCACACCTACAGACAATTTA